CCGCCGCCGCCGCCGCCCCACTCCTTCATCAAGCAGGAGCCGAGTTGGGGCGGCGCGGAGCCGCACGAGGAGCAGTGCTTGAGCGCCTTCACCGTGCATTTCTCGGGCCAGTTCACCGGCACTGCGGGAGCTTGTCGCTACGGACCCTTCGGCCCTCCACCGCCCAGCCAGGCGTCCTCCGGCCAGGCCAGGATGTTCCCCAACGCGCCCTACCTGCCCAGTTGCCTCGAGAGTCAGCCAGCCATTCGAAACCAAGGTAAGAAGCCGGGGAGCGCCCCCTCCACGCGGGGCGCCCGTCCCCGCGCGCGGCTCGCTCTCCTTCCCGAACCCCAGAGCTCGTCCGCCGTCTCTCCAAGATTTGTGAGGGTGACAGAAGCGGCAGCCGGGGAGAGGCGGTGCAGGAGCAGGAGTACACGCCGGCACCCGCACTTGACATCCTCCAGAGCCAAGAGCCTGAGTGTTCGCAGGAGCCGGGAGGTCATCTGGGGTCTCCAGGACCCCGGGAGATTCGGGGACTGCGAGCCCCGGTAAGGCTGGGAGCGGAAACCGGTGCCGTGTCTGTCTCTGCATTGGGAAGCGTTTTTTTTTCCTCCCTCCCTGTTCAAAGCCTCCCCCCACCTCAACCCCTAACAAACTGCCACCAGGCGTGAAACTTTTTCAGGCATTTAGACTGAATTCGGAATTAGGCCAGTGCTGGATGAGCAGCCCACGCCGCCTCCGCCGCGCCCAAGTGCCCCAAGGCTGCGCCAGACCTTAACTGGGTGTTGGGACACAGGCACACAGTGAGCATCCCGAAGCACTGGCTTCAGGTGATAACCGCAGTTAAATAGTGACTTCTCAGCAACCATGCCAATGGCCAACATATGGTTCCCGAGTTTTGTAGTATAACCTCGATGTCTTCTGGATTCCACTTCGGGCCGCCGCCATGCGTGGAAAAGAACCGGTTTATCGGATTCCCAGCTGTGTGGGACCACGTCCTAGAGGTGGAATGAGGCCTGGGCAACCGCCTTTTTGGCAACGCACCTTGGGCGCGTTAAGCAGGGGTTTGAGCTGGAGAACGAATTTTGCAGGCCCCGGGGGATTAGAACGGGGACAAGTTTGTCATTTTCAGTCAGTGCACATCGAGGAACACAACCGGTAATCTTCTGTGCGACTCCGGCGCGCGCACACTTATTTTTCAGGGACCAGCGGGGGAACCAAGCAAGTCGCACTTTTGTCCTTGGGCTTTTAAATTTACTCTAACTGAACCTGTTGAGAACCGGACCAATTCGGTTTGATCGATAGTTTAGGACACGCTTACCAACACAGTGGCTTTTCCTACAACAAAATTCAAGCGTCTAGGGACTGGGGTGCCCCTCCAGTGCGTGGGATGGGAGAACTAGAGTGTGTAGTGTTTGCAGGGGTTGTGGGGGGCTCCCGAGAGGCGAAAGAAAGGGCGTGTTATTCCCGCTATCTCCTGTTGGGCCTAAACGTTTATCTCCAGGCCTTTTCCTACTGTAGCCCAGCCTGGGGCACCTGATCCATCAGGACCTCAGGCGAAACCGAAACCACCATCTCTCCTCGTCTGGGAACCCGTGATCCACGTCCCACGCAGGAATCTCAAACCTACCCACTAAGTTCCCTTTGCTTTAGGTCTTCATAAATGAAATTCGCATTTTTCACTGAAGGGTGTTGGGACACCTTAGGGTGTTGTAGCTCTCTGGCTGTGCCATCTCTGATTACACACAGGCCTGCATGTGATCTTTGGCAAATCTCTGGTTCTCAGTTTCCCCATCTGTAGGAGGAGGCTGAAATGGGCAATCTGGAGGTTGGACCTGGGGAACAGTTCTATGCCAGAGAAACAGAAGCCCTCTTCCCCTGGTCTTGGATTCTAACTCCAGAAGGCTCAATCTATCTAACCCCATAGTCTGGATGTGAGGTCCTGTATGGAGGTCTCTGGGGAGATCAGAAAGCATTTTGATCTCAGCTCCTGGTCACAAAATACTACTAAGTCATTACTATTTATTTGAGTCCCTCTGGGATATTTGGAAGCTGGACCCTATTACTGTCAGGCATTCCACAGAGCAGGTGTGATGCCTGTCATCAAGTCAGCTGGGCAAGTGAGGACACTGGGATTTGTAGTCAGTGGACATTGCATTAAGGAAAATTCTGAATTCCTTTTGAGTAGAGAGGCCAAAGAAAAATAAAGCTTGTAGATTAGAACCAGGGCTAGCAGGTGAACCTGTTGCCTTTGGCAGCAGAGATGCAAGTCATAGCCTGTAAGCTGGTTCCCGGCTACTGCTTTTCTCACAATGAAAATAAATAAATGGGTTGAACCCAACTCTCAAGAGTCTTTGGCAGCTGGGAGCTGGGCTGGGATAGCAGAAGCTGCTGCTGCCTTAGCCTTAGCCCTTAATATTCCAAATGTATTCTCTTGATTCCAGGGGTCCTGTGGCTCCCCCAGACTTGGAGGAAGCAGAGTCAGCTCTTTCCCAAAAGTATGGGGATATTTAGGCCAAAGTCCAGTGGCGAAGAATCAAGACTGTCTGGATTCCTTTCCCCAGGCAGGGCACCCTAGCCATGGGGAGCAGAGTTGCTGGCATCCTCCTTCCTTCCCCAAGGCGGCACACCTCATTCACCCCTTTTCCCCCCATATCTCAAATATTATACGTGGTACTCTTAAGCTGCACCCTTTCCATGTTACTTCAAAACATTCATTTTTTTGGCCACTTCCTCTGTGCCAGGCTCTCTTAAAACAATTATTGCACCTGAACCTTTGCAAGGAGCTCACAGTGTGACAGCAGAGAAGGGACTCGAAAGTTTAAGAGATTAGGTATGCATGAGTCTCCTCCGTTTTTGACAGAGTTGGAGTTAAAGCCCAGGTCATTCTATATTCTTTCTACCTCCTTTTCCAGGCATCTTCCTCACTGTCGAGATAGATTTCCTCTACCAGACTGGAGATGAGCTCTCTCAACCTGCTGAGATCTGGAGACTGGAGGCTTTGTCAGAGCATAAGTGGGTTGAGGACTCGGTAGCCCCAGACTAAATATTGGGTTTAGTGCTTATCTATCCCTTGATGCCCCCAGCCCTGCTCTGGCCGGCACAGGAAGAGATCACCGGGCCACTCTGAGGTCATGAGGTGGGGGCAGCTAGGTGCAAGATCAGTGCCCTTGGGTGGCACTGAACAGGGAATTTTCTTGGGGGTCCTGGGGAAGCTTCAGGATCATCAATTTCAGCCTCCCGACTACGTTCCTGCCCCAAGCTGCTGTCCACCCCACCCACCCATTAGCTCCCTGGGGACTTGCTGGGGCCATGCGGTTCCCGTACTTGGATTCTTCGGGCAGGCGGGAGCCGCAGAGCGTGTCTCGAGCGGTCAAGGTTGTACTCCCCTCCCCGGCTGAGACTAACCGTGGGAAAGGCTCTACCTTGGCAGCTAGCGCCTCTCCCACTTCGGCTACACAAGGAGTCTTTGAATGCGCTGCCCCTTTCTGCCCGCAGCTGGTCCTCCCCCGCCCACTACCCCAGCGCTTTCTGCGGGGCCCAGAGGACGGCCCCAGGACCACGCGTTCTAATCTGCCCCGCCGTCCGATAAGCTTCTAATTAAAAGAGCCCTCCCTCCTTTCTGTAGACGCTTTCACCGCTGCCCCTCCCTGGGGATCAGGGTCTGAGGGAGGGGGCTGGAGGCTGGCTTTGGTCTGCTGAGGACTGCAGGTCCTGTTTGGGAGGGGCCTTGGAAGCCTCGCGGGCGAGGAGCGGCAGAGGGTCAAGGCCTCTGCTCCCCAAAAACCCGGGCACGCGGGAGCGGCAGCTGGAAATCCGTAGCCGTCGGCGCTCACCCACAGATTGGAAGCCTGCTTTTGAGGACAGCACGGTGGCACGGGCCCCGGTTCGGCTCAGGAATGGAGAAGGGTTCGTTTGTCTAGAGACAATTTGTGGCTCTTATTCTTAACTTTTTTTTAAAAGACTTTTCAATATTCCGCTTTCCTTTTGCAAAATTGAGTGCTCGAGGCCAAATTTCCTTTAAACTAATCGGGAGGCCTCAAACAGGGTCCTCTGCTCCCAAAAGGAAGTGTCTGAAGCCTCAGAGTGCTCACCCACTCCTGACAGCTAACCAGGCTGGACATTATGTTTGCTCACTTAACAAACAAGAAGAGGGGCGCCTCTGAGGTTGTGCAAATTCTAAGAGCTGGTTGCTTAAGTTGTTAACCTACCGCACAATAGGTGCATGAGTCTTTACCTGCTTGGCATAATCTAGTAATGGAGACATGACCCTCCCACTCCCAGAAAGCAGTGGAAGCTAGGTGTTCATGCCTATCTGGGAGAGTATTTTAAATATTGGGTTCAGTGGCCTCATTTATCTACCCAACTAAGTCTTGCTGGACACTTGTTGCAGTGCCTTGACACCTGTGGCAAGAATGGGGCAAGGGGCACCATGACTTACTTCACACCTCAGAATTGAGTGGGGTTTAGAGACCCAGAGCAGTGTGTGGATGGATCCAGGGTGGCTGGGGGGTTCTGATGGGTGGAGCGAGGAGGGGGGACTAGGATGGGCTGGATGGCCCAGGACCAGTCTCAGGACAGTCTGGGCATATACCATTAACTGTCAGGCCAAGTCTGCTAAAGCCAGTGCATAGAACAAAGGTGCCCCCCTCCCAAACTTTGGGGTTCAGGGTCCCAGGACCAATCCTTATCTTAGTTGCAGGACTTTTTTTTTTTTTTTTTGTCTAAGGGCTGTAACAGATTTCCAAAAGTTGGTGGGAGTAGGCATTTAAAGCATTTTTATAATTATAGACAACGTTCTCAACCAAGACACCATTTTTTCACCTTTGGAGATTAAGGGAAAAACACGGGTAGTACTGTCCTAGGTTTCTCGGGGGAGAACTCAAGTACAATCAAGAAGAGAGTAGGATGTAGTGTCAGACACATTCTAAAAGAAACAGGATTCCGACCTGTGACCTGAGGAAGTCTTCCCCTAGCAAATGGTGGTCACAATTGGATGTGCTGGGTGCGAGGAGGGTCGGAGAAGCAGAGGACGAGAGCGTCGGGTTGAGGCACGGGGGTGGGGGCCACCGGAAACGGCCGCCTCTTTCCCGCTCTCACCCGCTTTCCCCAGGGGTTTGGGTGTCGTGCTTTTGGGTCTCGCAGCCTCAGATAACATTACTCGGTCATTACTCTCCCCATTTAAAGCCCAAACCGTATAACTGACTCTGTGTAATTAATGAAAGTTGATGCACTGGTCCTTGATTTACGGCTCAGAGTCAGCGCGGGGTCAGCCGAGCAGATTCATTTTGTTCGCCCGTGCTGCCCCTGCGCGAGAGCACGGTGTTTGTTTTTTTGTGGGGAAGAAAAACTTTCTTCGACAAGCGGTGTTTTTTGTTTTTTTTGTTTTTTTTTTTAATATACCTTACTTGCTGGAGGTTTTGTGCAGAGCGGCGGGGCTCTGTGGAAGACGAGAGTAATAAGTAAATTGGTGTGGTGAGGGTTTATGTGGGAAAACGCAGATGGGTCCGATAATCCCCCGCAGGAGACCCAAATAAGGGGGTTGGGGCCCTTCTCCACCCTGGTTGCGATTCAGACCCACCGCCCGGGGCTCCTTGCTGACCAAGTGCTCTTTTCTGTTCGCCCTCAGCGTACAGCACGGTCACCTTCGACGGGACGCCCAGCTACGGCCACACGCCTTCGCACCACGCAGCGCAGTTCCCCAACCACTCTTTCAAGCACGAGGACCCCATGGGCCAGCAGGGCTCACTGGGTAAGCTGGCGGGAAGGGTGTGAATTCCTCTCCCAAACTTACTCCACCTTCCCGTGGAATTTCGGGTGCATAATAAACTGAGGGAGGACATCTGAAAAAATTTAGAAATAATTCACCCATTCTCACTTTGAAAGACAGGACTGTTTCCTCCTCCTCCCCCACCCCCACTTTAGGGGTTTCTCAACTCAACCTCATCTACAGCAGACAGCAGTCCGAGTGCCTGCTAACGGAGTGTAATGAGGAGTTTAGCTCCGAAGGATCTGGATACCTTTCCTGTACATGCCCGTGTCCCCTCTCCCAACCAGACCCACCTGCTCCCAGTTCAAGCCCGGAACTCAGCTCGGGCGCTCTGTTCCCTTCTCCCAGACCACAACCGAGTCCCGGAGCCCCTTGGGCACCGCTCACTCTTCTCTGCGCTCCCCGCAGGCGAACAGCAGTACTCAGTGCCGCCCCCGGTCTACGGCTGCCACACCCCCACCGACAGCTGCACGGGCAGCCAAGCTCTGCTGCTGAGGACGCCCTACAGCAGGTAGGAAGGCTCCCAGGACTGCGGCTGCCTCCGCGGGACCCCGAGGGCGCAGGAACGCCCCACGCGGGGTAGCCCCGATCGCCGGCGCGGGGTCCTGGCGGCAAAGGACGCCGTAACCCTACTGGGCTACTAGAACAAATTAAATACGGTATCTCTGGCTCTGATTTGGAGAAAGAACCCCCACCTCCACCCCCGCCCCACCTCCTGGCATTATTATTTTGAATATAAAAGAAAGCGACTACTGTCTGGAGCTGGAAAAGAAAGCCCGGCACTTTGTGAAGTTTTTTGTTTGTTTGTTTTAAGGACTCCGCCGGAAGGACTTTACTATCTGGAGACTAAAGATTAGATGCCAAGTCCACTCACTGTGTTCTTCTCACTCCTCAGAACCCTCCTATCCCTCTGGCCACCCAAGCCGGGCTTCTCCCAAACAACGTCGAGGGCGCACACTCGGGCCACCCTCTGCTATCCACCCCTACTTTTGACAGTTTCCGACGGCAGTAGCGCTTTGTGGGCGTCGTTCCCTGGGCCCAGCCACTCTGGGGCGGGACCGTCATCGGTCGCAGCGGTGTCCCGTGGGAGTGTGTTGCAGCTCACCCTCTCGCTAGGTCCTTTTTTCCTGTTCCCGGGGCTGGGGGGGGGGGGGGGGCGGAAGAATAGCATCTTTTCCTAACAAGCTTTTTTTCCTGTCCCTTGTGCCTTCTCCGGGATCACGCTCCACCCTCCACCTTCTCTCCCCCAAATTTATTCTTCAACTTTGGGTGAACTTGGCCGACATCCCGCGTCTCCGATAGGGTTGCTTAGTAACTGGTGCACTCACCGGCCAGCGCCGGGCTGGAAGGTAGGGGGGGAGGAGGGAGGGAAGTGGTGGATCTCGGCCTTTGAGGCCCAGGATTGGGTGTGCATTACCTCATAGCCCCCAACCCCCGGTGCTGCGGGGATCCTGATACCGCCAGCCCCCAAACTCATCTCCATCCTCCCTCCCCTCAGCTCGTGGACCCGGGGCTGACGTCAAGGGAAGGAGGTAGTGAGGTAATGAAGGAAGGAAAAGCACCGGCCCTGGGAGATTGGGTGGGGGAATGGACGCGCCTGGGGGAACCTTCAGTTCCACCGGTGGAGGAGGGGAAGGGATCTTCACTCTTGAGTACGCTGAGGCTCATCCCTTTGTCCCAGCAGCGTTATTCGAGTCGGGACTCGTCTGATTTTCCCGTCCGGAGTACTTACCAGGGAAGGTTCGGGGTCACTCCCCTTCTACTTAACAGAGGTGCCCAGCGGACACTGTGGAAATTTAATTATCAGACAATCTGGCATGTCCGTCGGGTTTGATTTGTGTTTGTTTCTGAGACTAAGAGCAAACGTGCACGCACGTTGCACAGATAGTGGTAGAATGTTCTCCTTATCTCCACCTTCGGCCAGAATTCAGTCTCATGTTTTGTTCCAAACCCATCATCCCACCGCCCCTCTTTTTTGATCAGGCCTTTGAAAACTGAAAATAACATCTGGTATGAACCCCCTCTCCTGGCACAAACGGTGGCAACTGGTTCATTGGCACCTTCAGGGAGAGCTGTTCTGCCTGTAGCAGGCTCGTTGCTGTTTTTCTAGTAGTTTTTGGGGGTTTGGAGGACTGGTTCTATCCCATGGGATGGCCTTGGCCTACTCTTCCCTCCTTGGCTCCTGGGGCTCACCCCAGATGGAAAGGAAGACCTTGACCACAGTGTTTAAATGGACCTGGAGACCCCCCTTGGAGGATGGGTGTTGAGGACTTCAGCAGTGACACACAGCTATACACATTGATACACAGCTAGCTACACTCGTTTCTCGCTCTTAGCTGAACCCACCATGTGGGACACCAGAAAGGAGAGATCAGAGTGACTGAGCAGCCTAGAAAAAAGAGGTAATAACAATTCTACTGGTAATAACAATTCTCAGTCCCTCTGGTGGGTTATGACTTAACGGCTGAATTTGGCTTCTCTGGAAGCAGGAAAAATATCACTTGGAGTATAATTTAGATAACAATTTTATATTTTCTAATCCAGCTCTTAAGGGGCCACTGTATATAGCAGTTTTGTCAGGTTCCTCCTTCAGATCTCTTTTCTTAATGCCTCTTTTCTTTCTGTGTAATTTGAACGTTTTTGGTTCTTGATATAAGAAAGTAAAAAATACTATTTTATCTTGTAACAGAAAATTTTCTCAGCTGTAACATCCCTTAAAACAAAGTAAAAGTTTGTTTCTTTGAAGTTTAGACTTTTTGAGTTTTGACATTACATCCACCCTAAATTCACATTTCTAATCACTTTCCAAAGGCACCCTGAAATGATGAATGGACAGGTGCCGGGATATTTCAAAAAATTGGGTCTGAACATCGGCATTACTGATTATGTCATTTCCTCTTTCCTAATCCTAAAAAAGTTTGAATGGGTATTTAAATGCTTTTGTGAATGCAGTGCTTTTAAAAAAAAAAGCACATAGGAAATAGGGCCAACTTCTAATTGCTTAGTGGCTTAACTTTTGAATTTTAGCTATTCAGTAATACTGCTACTGGCTGCTGGCTCTATTCCCTTTTCTGTCTAAAATCTAAACGTCTTGGGAAAGGTTGGCTTGTATTTTGTTTGTCCTGTTGCATATGAACCCCCTGAATCAGCCTGCCCAACTTCTTTCCCTCAGCCCTCCAAATCTTGGATCTTTGCAGACTTATATCTACTGTCCCTTCCCAAAGGTAGTGTTTGGTACATATATGGACATTGAGTAAGCAGTGCATGATGTGAGTTTGCATTGAGGAAATTCTCAAGATTCTCTCCTTACAATGAGAATTGCATGTCTCCTCTTTCTCAGGTAACAAATCTGCGGAGTAGCAGCTGTGCACATTTGTGTGTAGATGTGGACAGTAGAGAATGGAAAATATCCCCAGTCATCTTCGGGGAAGTGATGGGAGATGGTTTCTCCTACCATTCTTGTCCCCCACATATTGTGGGGGGAGTAGGGTTAGGTACAGGTCTCAATAGATGTTAGGCAGTACAAGACCCTGTGATCATGGCTGGGTGAAAGCTTGAATTGCTATAATATTGTAGTAAGACTTACTGCATGAAGATTATGCACTGCTGGGCCCTGTGCATTTAATCCTTCTGACTGCTTTATGAGGTGGGTACTCTACACTCCACTCTACTGAAGAAGAAATAGATACAGAGACTCAGAGTGGCTTGCTCAAGTCACACGGTGAGACTCAGAACTAGGATTTCATCACCAGTCTGACTTCAAAGCACATTTGTATTCTGGGTTATTTAGTGTCCTTTATCTGGAATATTATCCTTATGTAGCTCGTGTCAACACTTTGGTTCAAAAGTAATAAATAAGAGCAAGTGCAGATATAGACTTACTATATACCAGGTGTAGTAATTCTAAGTGCTTAGGAATATTGACCTTATTTCATTACACATAGAGATTCTGTGAGGTAGGCGATAGGTGATAGAGCCTCCACTTGGCAGAGGTAGAACTGATGCCTTGAGAAGTGAAATTGCCCAGTGTGATACATAAAGGATAAAACTGGTGTACAGATTCAGGTCGAGGCTCCAAAGTCCGTCTTGCTCCTACCCACTGTGCCCTGTCGCCTCTCCTGATGAGTAAGCACCATTCTCTTTGCTACGGTCGCATCTATCCTCGGGCTTGATAGAGAAAGGTCTTTATTTCCCAGGGTTATAAAAGAAATACTATAATCATCCGTTTTTACTCACAGCTATCAAATGAAAGCCCTTAGTGGATGGGAGGCAGCATTTCTCCTGGTAGTGTTAGCACCGACTTGAGCTTCCTCGAGGCTGCGTTCTAGCTGGCAGCGGATGTTCTGTATTTAGGCTCCTTTAGCTTTGCCTTTACCACTGGCCTTGAACTGTCAGGATGAACTTCTACCTGGATACCTAGGACAGAGACTTGGTCTGTGTCTGCTCCAAGGGAAGGTTCCAGAGAGTGCTGCCTCCCATGCTCTCCTTCATGGAGACAGTTGTGAGATCTGCCCTCACTAAGCAGTTTCTCCTCTGACTTCCTGTTTGCAGTGAGCTGGGCCTTTTCTGCTCACTGCTCTTGAATGATCTTTGATGAGCCCCTCTGCCTGCTCTGCTTGCTAATAACTCCATGGAGTCACTGCACCCACTGCAGGGGTTGATTCTCAGAGCTATTTTGAAACAGAGTTCTATGCTTTGTGTTTGAAAAATATCCCCATGCAGGCCAATTCCCAGCCCCGCCCCCCACCCCCAGATAATGTGGTGCTTTTAGTAAATTTGTACATCCTCCTTTAGGAACTGTGCTGCCAGTTTAAAGAGGATCATTTCCTTTTGCCAGTTAGCAGGAATGACTACTCCAATTTAAGAATATTTTTTTAAAGATTTATTTATTTATTCATACAGAATTGGGGTACAGGCCAGAGGTGCAGGGGCAGGGAGAGGCTTCACCAGAGACAGAGTGGGGAGCAGAACAGGCAGATCGATGAAGT